TCTTCTAGGAATTCTTGTTGGGCTTGGGTCCAATTAGCATTTTTCTTTGAGGTTTTGGTTATAGCTGTTTTCACATTGTCTTATTCTGAGTTTGTGTCTTGGTCTTCCCTGACACAGTAGTAGCTTTTTATGGTCAAGTCTTTTGTTGTTGTTGTTAATGTTGTTGTTCTTCTTGTTAACTCATTTTTTCCATCCTATTTCTTGACTTTGAACCTTATGTTAAAGTTGGGCTCTGCTAACCTGAGGGTAGACAGGAACTGCCCCATGGTTTAAGCTTTTTTTATGGCTGCTATTTTTAGAGCTAATTCTGGGAGTCTGCAAGTTTTCAGTGTTTCCAAGGTGGTGGGATCCTGGGAGAGATATAATCACTGCTCTCTTGGTCTGTGCACTGGTTCTTACCCAAGAAGAGCCCCTGGTACCCTGAAGTCATAAGAGCTAGCATTCCTCTTTGCCTTGGAACTGAGACAAGGGCCCCTATTCCCCTTTTGACCAACCACCACTGCTGCTCTCCCCTTGCAGTTATGACTCAGAACTGTGTATGGGCAATAAAATTGCCAATCAGTGCCAGCTGTACCTAGTGCCAGCAAAGGGTCCCCTGTCTGACCCCCTTACTGTCTGAGCTGAAAGCTTCCAAAGTTGCTGCTGCTGCTATATCTACTGTTGCTGCCCCCATGTGTGCTCTGGATGGGCCTCCACCCTGGTGTCAAAGATGTCTCCTGCCAACCTCATAATTTTTCTTAGGATGGAAAAATGTTTCACTCTGACCTTTTCTTGGCTCTTCAGCTCCAAAATTTTATTTGAGTTGAAGTTATTTAGAAGGGAATGTTGAAATAGTTCAGTTGAGTTGCTGCCTTTAATCTGCCATCTTGGCTTCTACTGGTACAAAGTTTTGATAACAGACTCTTCCATGCATTGCAATAGGGAGATAAGACCCAAAGAGAGATAGCCATGATCCATATAATATTAATGCAGTAAATGAAACAGGAAGTTATAAAACAAAATACTTTGTGGGCTATGAAAGTCGGTGAAGTATTGATCAAAGGAAATTAGAAAAGGACATCTGCAGAAGGGAATTGGACTTTGAAGAATTGGCAAGAATTCAACAAACTAAAGAAAAGGAAGGAAGTGTAATTCAGTAATATGGAGCACTATGACCAAAACATGGAAACTGGGAAAGAGTGTGTTTAAGTGACAGAGATCAGTCAAATTTGGTTGCAGCACCACATTTGAAAAAAGGATTTAAATGGGATATGTATGAAAGGTAGATTTATGTCAATCTGTGAAGGCCTTGAATGTTAGGAAAAAGAACTTGAACTTTTATGGGTAAACAGTTGGATGCCACTGGAAATTTTTGAGCCTAGAAGTGATATAGCTAGCTATATTTATAAGAAAGATTATTCGAGAATAGAATGAAGAATGAATTAGATGTTTATGGGGGGAAATAAAGAGTAGAAGACCTCTGAAAGTCTACTGAAAAATAGAATTGACAAGTCTTGGTAATCAATTGGTTATGTAACATAAATTTGTATCCCCAAGGAATTGTCTTTCTCTGTATGTTCTATTCTGGAGATCTCATTGATTTTCATGAATTTAAGCATCCTCTCTCTATGCAGATGACTGACTCCTCGATCTATCCAGGAGCTATTCAGCCCTAACCTCTTCCTTCAGTTCCAGTCACATGTCATTAACTGCCTCATGAGTATCTCCTCCCTGATGTGCTGTAGGCATCTGAAACTAAATTTGTCCAAAAAAGGGAACTCATGACTTACCCTAAACTTCTCTTCCCTTCATATTTCCCATTTGTTTTAATGGCACCATCACCTTCCCAGTCACCCAGTTTTACAACCTAACCTTAATATCATCCTTGCTTCTTCCCTTTACCTAATACCTCATATACAGTTTCTACTTCTTGTTAATTCTGCCTCCACCACCTCTGATGGTCATTCTCTTAATTGTGTCATGTTCTGCAATTATGAACTCTGAAATTCCTCCATCTGATCTCAATCTTCTATCATTCCAACTTTCCCCCTGCCTTAAAACCCCTAATCCTGTTCTTCATCCACACCAAGGCCTCCAATCCCACTAACCCCTCAGGCTTTCTTAGGCCATCACTCCTGAATTGACTACCCTATCTTGACCCCTTGGTGCCAATCCAAGAGGTGAATTCTACATTCTCCTCTACTCTCAAGTCTCTTGCCCACCTCAGTTTTGCTCTACCAAGCCCCAGCCTTATATCATTCCCATCTTTTTTCTGTTTATATACTATTGAAAGGAACTGGAGAAAATCAGAAAACCATACTGACTGGGTCCACTACAAAGGTATGTTACATCATCTCAACTGAGCCCTCCCTGTGGCAAAAAAATACTTTTTCACCTCTCTAATTGATTCACTATCTACTCACCATAGCAAGTTTTCCAAGCCCTTTTATCCCTCTTCATACCTCCCATGGCACCCCCCTCTCCCACCTTTTTAGTTGTGGACCTTGTGTCATATTTCACTGGAAAAAAAAATGAGTCAATTTACTGAGTTCCCTCTTTTCTTCTCACATTACTCAGAGACCTTCCCCTACTGACTCCTACTTCATCCCTGTTTTACTTGAAGAGGTGACTCTTCTTGCCAAGGCACACCCTTTAAAGTGCACAAGTGAGCCCAGTCTATGCCATCTTCTTCAATAAATTGTCCCCTTTAACATTTCCAGTATTTCATTAATCTTCCATCTCCCTGCTTTCTAGGCTGCTTTGCTGCTGCATACAAATATGCCCTTGTCTCCCTCATGCTTAAAAAATCTTCACATGAGCCATCTATTCTATCTATCTATCTATCTATCTATCTATCTATCTATCTATCTATCTATCTATCTATCTATCTAAACTAGCTATCATCCTATATCTTATCACTTTCATATCATCCTATATCTCCTTCCTTTCATAAACTGCTTTAGAAAGCTATTTTCCATTGATATTTCCAGTTCCCTTTCTCTCCTTTTCCTTAACTTGATGGTCTGTCTTATTTTGACATTCAGCTGTAATTGCTCACTCTAAAATTACCAATGATATATTAATTGCCAAATCTAATGACTTTTTCCAACTCATCATCCTTCTAGATATTTCTGCTACCCTTGATATTATGAATCACAGTCTTCTCCTCTATTGTCTCTTTTGTATAAGTTTTTAGTATACTCATCTCTCCTGGTTCTTCTACTACTTGTCTGACCACTCTTTCTCAGTTTCCTTTCCTGAGTCATTCAGGTCTTGCCCACTGACTATAGCGCCCAATATATCTGTATTTCTTGGCCTTCTTTTCTCTTGCTATGTTCTTTTGCTTGGTGATCTCATTAGCAACCATAGATTCAGTTGTCATCTCAATGTAGATGATTCTCAGATCTATTTATCCAGCCCTAGCCTCTCCACTGATTTCTAGTCTTCTATCTCCAACTGCCTATTGGTTATCTCAAACTAGACGTGCTGTAGACATCTTAAACTCAACATGTCCAAAAGTAAACTCATTGTCTTTCCTTGTAAACTCTCCTCTCTTCCTAACTTCCTCATTACTATCAAGGGTACCATCATTCTCTCACCCAGACATGTAACCTAAATATCATTCTAACTCTGTCACCCCCCCAATCTCTAATCTGTTGCCAAGTCCCATCAATTCTACTTTCATAACATCTCCCCTATATCCTCTGATGCTGCCACCACCCTCATGTCAGCTCTCATCACCTTATTCCTGGACTATTGCAAGAGCCTGCACATTGGCATTCCTATTCAAAGTCTCTCCCCACTCCAGTCCATCCTCTGCTCAGTTGTCAGATTTTCCAAAATCACAGGCCTTATCATGTCACCCACCAACCCATTCAATCAATTCTATCAGTTCCCTGTTATCTCCAGGATCAAATATAAATTCTCTGTTTGATTTTTAAAGTCCTTTGTAACCTAGACCCTTCCTAGTCCTCAAGTTTTCTTATACTTTACTCCCCCCATTAATTCTGTAATGATTTGACACAGACCTCCTTGCTGTTCCTCACACAGAACACTCCTTCTCCAGACTCTGTGCATTTTCACTGACTTTTCTCTATGCTTGAACTTCTCTCCCACCTAACTTCTATTTCCTAGCTTCCTATGTTTTCTTCATATCCCAGAAAAAGTCTCACCTAATGCAAGAAGCCTTTCCATGAGTCCTTCAATATTAATGTCTTCTCTCTGAGGTTACCTCCTATTTATCCAATATACATCTTGCTTATGCACAGTTGTTTTTATGATATCTCCCACTTTAGACTGTGAGCTCCTTGAGAGCAGGGAATATTTTGCCTATGTATGCCTAGCACTTAGCATAGTGGCTGGCACTTGTAAGTGCCTGATAAATTCTGGATCACTAACTGATGAATGTGTTGTTGTTTTTTTCCTTTCTACTCAAATGGTGTTCAGCATCTTAGTTCATGCCTTCTTTACTTCTTGCTTAGATTACTATAAAATCTCATAATTGATCACTTTAAAAGGTTAATGTTTATGTTGGTTTCAGTATATCACCTAGCAACTGGATAAAAACTTGAAGTTCCTGATGAGTTATAATATTCCAACACAGCCTTATAAAATAGTGTAAGGAAATGACTTTGTACCTATTATGATTCAGTCATTCCTCTCTTTAAATGCACTCTATGTTATAGACTTAAAGGCATTGTTATAATTTTTCAAGACTGAACCTATTATTATACTTTGAGTCATTTTATATCTTATTTTCAAACTCCATCCCTTTGTAAAATAACTCATTGTCAATTGGATTTAGTAGTTCACATATATCCCACTGAGATTCAGTATCTGTAATCTGAAAGAAGTCTATTTTAAATGTCCATTCCCAAGGGTCCAATAAGAAATGAGAAGCCAGTAATATTAGGCACTGTGCTGCATACATTGGCAAGGACACACAGAAAGTGGTGGCTCTTTGGGTGAATCAGAGTGTATTTCATATTCTGTCTCTTTCTTTCCTTTGCCCCTCCTTCCAGTGAAATCAGATGAGTTACAGACAATCAAGAAAGAATTAACCCAAATCAAAACTAAAATTGACTCCTTGCTAGGGAGACTGGAGAAGATTGAAAAGCAGCAGAAGGCTGAGGCAGGTAAGTGAAAATGATGTGTAGTCATAGACAGGTCATTAGGAGGTAAATGAGACCAGGCCAGCACTATCAGTCACACTGACAGCTCAGAATAAGAGGAGAAACTTCGCTGAGTTTTTATTATATATTATAGATTCTAGCCATAAAGCCACAAAACTGGGGCTTGAAATGATGGAACAGAATTTTGCCCTTTCAAAGATTATGAATAACTGCTTATTCTGGGATTGACAATTTTTAAAAAACAGAAGGGAGTTTGGGATTTCCATCTAACCTCTATCAGTATCAAAATATGGTAAAGGATTAAAGGCATTTGATGGAATACCATTGCAATGAAAACACATAGATTTTTATAGCACTAACCATAGGAAAATCTATCAGCATTCAAATCTGCATTACAAAGGGAATGTCCCCTGTCTGGATCCCCTCCTTCAGTACCATCATTCAAAAAGCGTGGTGCTGGTTAATATAAGCAAGTGATTGGACTCTAGCCCTGTATTATCCCTTAGGGCCATCCCCCAGGATACCAACCCTGATGTAAGGCTTCTGCTAGAACCACCATAACCCACATTCATTTGACCCAAGACATTCAGAATCACTCAATGAGAGGTCAGTTGGCTGACAAAACTAATTATCAGTGGCACCAGCTGGGATCTCTTGCTCAAGTTTAAAGGATCTGATCCTATATTACTATTGTAAAGATGAAACCCTCCTCTCTGATTGTAGGAACTCTACAGGCCAGGAGTACAGGAGACACTGATGTCGCTATAGGAAAAAGTGGCTATAGAAATAAAAGATCAGGCAACTACAGAAACAAATATTTAAATATTTCAAACATCATTTCTACTTGCCTACTCCCTTATTTTGACTCATTTTTTAATGGAATGTCTGAACAAATAAAATCCTTTAAGAACTTATGAAAATCAATGATTTCCCACTGTCACTCCCCCCACCCCACTTACACCACCCTCAAGGATATATTTATGCCCAAGAAAGGCAGTGGAGGGTATAGTGGAGAGGCCAGCCTGAGGAGCAAGAAAGACCTGAGTAAAAATTCTACCTCTTCCACATACCTTTTTGTATGAAACAGCAGCAAATCTCAATAGGTAGAGGAATTTTATTTCCCTACCCCACTGAAATTACAAGCCTGGATCCTTCCTTCCTTTCTACTCCTTACTCCCTCTCCCCCCCCCAAAAAAAAGTTTATCCACAAATTGTTCATAAAGAAGTCTACAGGTATGTAATTTTTACATACCCTGTCATGTTATGACAACATCTTGAAGTCGTTTCTCTAACTGAAATATCTTGTGATACTGTTGAAATCATTGTTCCATTTCAGGAAACATTGTGAAATTCATTATCATGCAGAACAACCCTTCCAGCAATGGACTTTGATAACCAATTTGCACTTCGGTTTAAAGGATTATGGTGAACTCATTTAAATATAAATCACCTCAAAGAGAAAGATTTGATCCTTATGGGATTGTGTTACATCTTCTAGCATGCTATGCTGAATAACACCTCCACATATCTTCCTGAATGATCATCTGTAAATGTTATACTGTAATTCAAAAGGATGTATTTTCTTCTGATGAGTGGATGGCACCTTGTTGCTTTACATGCCTGTAATCATACCCAATCAGCAGGTTTCTTTAAAGACCAAAGCCTGTTTGTTCCCTGGGGACTATTACACGCCCCTCATGTTAACAAATGAGAAGAAAAATTGAATTAATTAATTTACTATTTGTTTCTCTTAATATCTCCTGCTGAAGGACATTTATATGGATGTCCTTCAGTTGGAAGTTGAAGTTGGAAGCTATAATTTTCCAAGTTTTCTCAAATGAAATGAATGAAAGCTATGTATACAGAGTCAAGTCGTTAATTAAAGGAGTTTATCAGAATAATAGTTTATCTGAAGCAACTCTTACTTTCCAATTTATTGATAGCACCTAAGGTACTATCTTTAATTACTTGGTTGGTTAGCATCTACCTATGGTGATCACTCCATCTACTGCTTCTTAATTACTTGTTTTGTACATTTCATGCTCAGTTTACTATTATTTTGCATGAAGTCTTCATCTCACAGGGAAGCTATTTATACCTACACATTTTAACTACAGTCTTTTTCTAGGAAAAATTTGATTAAAAAACTGTATTGCTTAACCTGGTTCTGAAGGTGACCCACCAGTCCCCAACAGGGACTGAGTTACAAGGAGGAGCTATTCAGGGACCACAGTGGGAAATGAGCAGTTTCTCAGAATCTTCTGAGCCATGTGTCAGAATGTAATTTTGTTTTTTTCTTTGCTAGGTTTGTTTATAAACATTGCTAGGACACCAGAAACACCTGTGTTCAAATGGAAATAAATCATTCTGCCTCCCCCACAGACCAACTCATTCCATTAGTATAGCTAATTAACAGTTGACTTACCTTGGTACATCTGTTTGAATCCTGCCCACGGCACTAACTCTGTAATTCAGGGCAACTCACTTAATATCTCTGGGCCTCAGTTTCCTGATCTATAAAAAGAGGCAGTTGGACCTGATGAGTTCTAAAGTCCCTTCTAGCTCTAAATCTATGATTCTGTTATTCTGTATTCTTTCTCCACTACCTAGATGACAGGTTCTGTTTCAGCAGGGATCACTTTTTTTATAACTCACACCACCACATAATGCACATTTCCTTGATATGGATTTAATGAAAAGGTCACTGGACTGGAGACTGGGTTCTAGTCCTGGTTCTGTTTCACATCAGTTGCATGAACTTGAGCAAATGGCTTAATCTACATGGTTCTCATTTTCATCATCTGAAAAATTAGTTGGCTGGACCATGTGATCCCCGAAATACCTTCCTCTTAAAATTTTATCATTTTTTAATAACTATTCATCAGTGCATATGACATATCCCTATACAGAATACAGTTCATTATTCTAGGAGACAGGAATAGTTTATATCAGAGTTTCTAAACCTTTTTCTGTGCATCATGGTGCCCTGTGGCAGCCTGGTAATGCCTGATCCAAATGTGATACATTAACATTACTTACAATCATAATTGAAGGGAATACTAGAAATTTTAGTTAGAAGTTTTAATAAAAATAAAGCTATGTTTGTTTCTTATCCAAATTCATGAACTTCAGGTTAAGGGCTTAGATTATTCCAAATCCAAAGACCACAAAGACATCATTTTATTCATACTTTGACTTCTTCCCTTGCTGCATCATTTAACTGAGCTAGTTCTAGATTCCTGGCTGACCTGCTTACTCTCCCCTACATTTATCTGGTTTGTGGTTATCTCCCTTAAAGTGTGATGCCTTGTTTAGAGATTGTCTGATTATCAGAGTAAGAATTTTCTCCATGTACATTCTGTTTCAATGCCCTATATATTTCCTCCTACAGTCTGGACATGCTACCTCTTTTAATATAGCCTTAGATGCATTTATATTTGCTTGTATGTTTGTTTATCAGTCATATTTGGTGGCTCACATTGAGCTTGTAATCATTAGTAACACCAGTTCTTTTTCACATAAACTGTAAGGCAGATCTCCCCCATCTTGTAATTAGGCAAATGACTTTTTTAAATATAAAAGCAAGATTTCATATTTAGGTTTAGTCCATTATTCTATCCTACTCTATCTTTTTAAATTATGCATTATAGTATACATCCTTCCAGCTTTCTTTCATTTGATAAATATGCAAAAAAAGAAGCAGCAATGTAGCAGTGAAAAGGAAGAAGACACTTAAACTCCAACATCTACTAGTTGTGTGGACATAGGCCATTACTTGACTTTTCTGAGACTCAGTTTCCTTATCTGTAAAATGGGGAATAACAATGCTTGCCCTCATATGCATGCATGAGGAAAGTGATTTGTAAGCCTTATGTTGCTATATGAATATATCATATTCATCCTATTATTACTTAAAAATATAGACTGTAATAGAGATATAGAAAATCCTTTTCCATGACACTAGAAACATTCAAAGTTGACTTTGGTATATAAATCAGATCTCTTATTATGGTTGCAATAAATGTTTATTGACTGCATGGCTGAACCAAAATGTGATTTTCATCATTAGAGCTATAGAATTACCAATAAATGGAGACTATGTCCTCGAAGTATGATTTCAGGTATCCTCTCCACGTTAGTAAATTTTATTTGTTTTTGAGATTTGGGGATATTAAATGGATTACAGGATATTGTCTGTGTTATTTATTCTCCCTATCTCTTTCAAGCAAGAGGTATAGATAGCTATCTAACTAGAGCCTATGTGTTACAACATACCAGTGTATGAAATATAAAATGTACCATGAAAGTGACTAATACGACAGGTCCAAAACAGGAAGCTTAAATAAAAAGATGTTCAGATTATCTCTCAATGCCCTTATCCTCTCCTTTCTTTACCCTTATTGAACTCATCTCCCTGTACCACTTCTGTCTTACCTTCTTCACATTGTTACTGCTGCTGTTCCATCCCAGTAATCTCTAAAAGCCCACAAGACACCCTCCAATCCTATTCCCTTTCTTGTAATGGGAAGGAAAATAACCACTAGGGAACATGTCCATTTAATTCACATAGTGGAGGTACCAAAGAAGGGCCAGTAAGAACATGGGCTTTGAAGTGCAAGGACTTAAGTTCACATCTTACGCCTGAGGTTTAGCTCCTATTTTTTTCAACTATTTAACCTCTCTGAGCCTTAATTTCTTCATCTGTAAAATAAGGAGTTTGGACTTGAGGGCCTCTGAAGACTCTTTCATCTCCAAGTATAAGACCATTTACCCTTTCTTTGTTTTAAACATTGGAGAGAGAAATGGGCAACAAATAGAATCGTGAGATGAGGCTGTGCTCTGATCATTGAAATGAATGTGTCATGCTTAGGAGTCAGGTATGTATGATAGGTTTGTAATCTCAAGAAGAGAAAAAAATAAGGGAAAAGAACCAAGATGTAACAGGTTTTGAAGGATATATAGTTTAAGAAAGAAACATATTATTGGTAACTTAGTTTTTAATA